TATTCGTCTTCCCTATCTGTAGTACCTTGCATTTATCAGTATTAAAATTCATTTGCCAGTCTACTGACCACTCATGTAAGGTATCTAGATCTCTTTGAAGGTGTTCAAAGTCACTGTCTGAATTTATCACTCTCCCCATTTTGGTATCATCTGCAAATTTACTAATCCTACTAGTTATACCTAAATCAAGATCATTAATGAATATAACAAACAGCAGAGGGCCTAATACAGATCCCTGGGGAACTCCGCTTTTGACCGCACCCCAGTCTGACTTTAATCCATTTATGCTGACTCTTTGTTTCCTACCAGTTAACCATGACCTAATCCAATTTAATAATGATCCACCTATTCCATGTGCTTCTACCTTCCTTATCAACCTCTCATGAGGGACTCTATCGAATGCTTTACTGAAATCTAAATAAGTTATATCATATGACTTATCATTATCTACCGCTTCATATACTTCTGAGAAAAAGCTAAGCAAATTTGTGAGACAAGAACGTCCCTGGGTGAACCCGTGCTGAGAAGAATGAATTAAGTTGAATGTTTCAAGGTGGCTTCTGATTTTTGTAGCAATAATTGACTCTAGCAACTTGCCTATGATTGACGTGAGACTAATGGGACGGTAATTTGATGCAATTGATTTATCACCTTTTTTGAAAATCGGAACTACATTTGCAAGTTTCCAAGCTTCTGGCACTAGGCCCGATTCTAATGACTTATTAAATAAAACTGCTAATGGATTACTCAACTCATCTCTACATTCTTTTAATATTCTAGCATATACCTCGTCTGGACCTGGCGATTTATGAGGCTTCAGTTTGTTAATTACTTTAAGCACATCGTTACTAGTAACATTGATATTCATCAACATATTTTCTATACTGTCGTTATATACCTTATGAACTTCTGGAAGCTGAGCTAGGTTTTCATTTGTGAATGCGGGGCGAAAATGACTATTTAACGTACTACACATTTCTAACTCATCATCAGTCATTTCTCCTGTCGTAGTTTTAAGGGGACCTATTGTATCTCTAACCTTTGATTTATACAGTTGATAAAAAGCTTTGGGGTTATTTTTCGATTCGTTTGCTACCTTGATTTCATAATTTCTCTTTGCTTTCCTAATTTCTGTTTTTACCTGTCTTGTTAGGTTCTGATAGTAACCAAGTAAGTGATTTTCGCCTTTCTTAACTTTTCTATATACTCCTTTCTTTTTCCCTAGAAGATCTAAGAGTCTATTATTCATCCATTTTGGTTGGTTCCGTATCGATCTGAATTTTCTTTTAGGGATGTGTTTATTTTGAGCATTATGGATTGTCGCAATAAATTGTTCATAAGTAGCTGCTAAATTAAATTCTGGGTTCTCCCGTCCTAAGTTGACAGTTTCCGGAGGTGTGGGGGGGATTAATCTTTTGACCATAGGGTCATCCCTTAGGTCTCTCCTTAAGCTACCGTAATTAGCCTTCCTAAAATCCGGGATCAAGGCCGAATTTTCCTTCTTCCTGCCATTCCATATTAAGTTAAAATATATGGCTTTATGATCACTGTTTCCTAGTTCGTCTCCAATCCCAACATCTTTTACTAGATTTTCATTATTACTGAGAACTAAATCGAGGATATTATTTCCTCTAGTGGGCGAGTTTATGAATTGATATAAAAAACTATCTTGTACTACTTCTAGAAAATCTTCAGATTCATTATCGCTAAGTTGATTTTTCCAATCTATGCCTGAAAAGTTGAAATCGCCTAGAATACATACATTGTTTCTATCAGATGCCTTCTTTATTTCCTCCCATAGCAATTTACCATCGTTCCTACTCAAATTAGGTGGTCTATATATAACACCAATGACTACGGACTCATTGCCCTCACCAATCTCTACCCAAATACTTTCATTGTCGCTATTTGTTTTAATGTTTGATTTATTGCAGCTTTTTAATGACACCCTGATATACACTGCTACACCGCCCCCTCTCCTTCCTACTCTGTCAAATTTAAATAGGTTATATCCTGGAATATGAAATTCTGCTAAAAAATGTTTGCTGTTTGAATTTATCCATGTTTCCGTTATTGCAATTATATCTATGTTCTCTTTACTAACAATGGCCCTGAGCTGGTCCATTTTGTTACACAGGCTTCTACTATTAGTATAATAAACACTCAATATATTTCTTCCGTTTCTATCTGTTTTACATTTATTACTTTGATGTTTGTTATTATGACTAACTATATTTTCAGCATTATCTACTTCTGTTTCACTGCTGTTATTTTCACATGGTATTTTCCTCTCTTTACCATTGATGGGATTTGGACATATTAAAACCCCACCTTTACTACCCTGTCAACTATCTTCGCTAGCACCGCCACCCCCTTCCTACTTAAATGCACCCCATCCCTTGCATACATACTATCATCACCATAGTACAGGCTCCAACTATCAATGAATGGCGTCGACAGCTCTTCACACTGTTCTTCCAACCAGCAATTGAAACCAATTGCACGGGACATCCATTCACGACTGGCACCACGTCTAGGTAGGATAGAGCAAGCAATAGGAGTTCCACCCTTCACCCTAATCTTATCTAGAGCTTCCCTATACAGTTTACGCAGTTCGACACTGGTAAGCTTACCTACGTCATTGCCTCCTGCACTGAGTAAGACTATGGGGTTGTCTCCACAGTCATCAATGACGTTCTCCACTCTCTCCAGTACTCTACCTATCCCTGCCCCGGGGAGACACTCGAGCTTCCTAACTTTAGTGCAGAGATTGTTACCTAAATACTTCACCATCGAGTCTCCCATGACAGAAACACATTTGACCTTACCTGAGTGTGGTGATTTCTTACCTGCGCTACTCCCTCTCTCCACACTAACAGAGGGAGTAGCACTCGTGGTGTTACTAGCACCTTCCTCACACTCGTCACTTAAGGTGGTGAACCTGTTGTTTAGGTCTACAGCTGAGTGCCTTTTTAGAGTGCATTTTGTAGCACTAGCAGCAACTACCTTCCATGAATCCACTTCAACTTCACCGTCCTTCACGACACTGGCAAAGGTTTTCTTCTCCTCTAAAACTAGCTTTAAGGCTAAGTTTTCGCCCTTGAGACTCTGGACCTCCTTCTCAACCTTCTCCAGTCGGTCTTGTAAGGCAAGACAAAGCTGGAGAACGTGAGAGGTGGTCGAGTACTCGTCAGCAGCTGCCATGTCACTATGTCACTAACACTGACAGGAACACAGGTCCGCACTGGCTGAGGGTCAGAGGTCTCCCCGCACTCTTCGTCTTTCTAGGGAATGCAAGTTAAGTTTCTTTAACCTATCCTGATATTGAAGGTTTCTAAGTCCCGGAATCATTTTCGTCATTCTTCGCTGCACCGAATCTAGTGAATTTATATCCATTCTATAATAGGGGCACCAGAACTGAACCGCATAATCTAGACTAAATAAGTCTTTACTTTTGTGTTCATTATTTTGTCACTCGGTTGAGTCACTTATTTTATCAGATTTAACTTGTATTTGTTTATTTTTGTACATACTGATATATTTATTTTATTGTTTATTTGTTAATATATTGTTATTAAAACTACTGCATGTATTTCAATATACCCCATAGTAATGAGGTGATGATTTGGTGGGATCTATTCCTGGACCTATAGTACAAAGTGTAATTTGTGAATTTGTGACATTGTTGCACCCTTAAGAGGCCCAAGGGTCGTAACAATATCAACACCCCTAGGACGAGTTACTACACCACGTGAATACCACACTACCCGGTGTCTCAATGACCACGTGAGGTCCTTCATATCAACACCCGAGGACAAGTTACTACACCACGTGAATACCACACTACCTGGTGTCTCAATGACCACGTGAGGTCCTTCATATCAACACCCGAGGACGAGTTACTACACCACGTGAATACCACACTACCCGGTGTCTCAATGACCACGTGAGGTCCTTCATATCAACACCCGAGGACAAGTTACTACACCACGTGAATACCACACTACCTGGTGTCTCAATGACCACGTGAGGTCCTTCATATCAACACCCGAGGGCGAGTTACTACACCACGTGAATACCACACTACCCGGTGTCTCAATGACCACGTGAGGTCCTTCATATCAACACCCGAGGGCGAGTTACTACACCACGTGAACACCACACCACCTGGTGTCTCAATGACCAGCCCGGGCCATCAACTATAAACTATAATTATTTGTATGTTCAATTCATGTTCCTTCTTCTTTCAATATTGAAAGCTTTTGTTAAACGACCCACCCACCCCGTGTCTCTGTATGTAAGAAGTTATTTTGTTCAATGTATATTTTCAGCCTTCGGGCTGCAGAACTTTAATAAACCGCTTAAATTATTATTATTATTATTATTATTATACTCATACATAAGTATGTCCTGGAAATAAACTCGTTCCTCCAGTAAACGAGTTTTTTTCCACACGATGGTCGAGTTTTTCCTCCATGTTGGTAACCTTCAGAGCTGTAGAGACCACTATTCATGGCAACTTCAGCGGGGGGTTACAGTGGGTGTTAATTGGGTAATGTAAGGGAATAATGGGAGAGATATTAATGGGTAATGTAAGGGGTTCATTCGTAAAAATAAAATCACCTGAAGATTAGCCACCCCAACTTATTTCACCTGATGATTAAACACCTTAAAGCTACCTGGAGTCTTAAGAGAGAGAGAGAGAGAGAGAGAGAGAGAGAGAGAGAGAGAGAGAGAGAGAGAGCGTGATCTCTTGAGACTTTCTATTCAGTTCATTGACAATTAAATTCAGGAATTCATATTGTTTTTCCTCCAATTTCGTGTCAGAATGATGAAGAAAACTGAACACGGGTTTAGGACTTCCCAAAACACTGGGTTAAAGGTGGGGAATATTCACGTCCGGAGGGGGGGTGAATCGGGGTGGGGAAATTTCCCTCATTTGGAGTAGCCGAGAGCAATAATATATAAAAACCCCGGTATACGTTGGGCAAGTCAGTAACCTTCCGACAGTGAGAGAGAGTGCACGTATATCTTTGGACTGCAGGATCCCTATATATCTTACGGTAAGTTTAATTTTGACAACTCATTATCAAAGTAATTCATAAATCTGGCTATAAGCTTTACTTAACGATGAATATGTCAGGTCAAGGTGTCAGTTATCTTTAATTCTTGACATCAAACAAATACATTATTATTGTTGTTATTATTATTATTACTTTAATACCCAACATTCATACAGACACACTGCTCGTCATGGTTCGCCTACACGTCGCCCTGACCTTGTTAGTGTTATTGACGGTGGAAGCTGCCGCCCACAACCCTTTCCGCAGGAGACACAACACCCGCTACTCCCCCCGCAGGAGGCCGTCGGTAGGCGGGGCCACCGTCTACTGGAGAGGTGGCGTGCGTAGAAGGCCTGCGGCAGTGAGGGTGAATGATGGTGATGGAAACGTTGGACATGGGACCCCTATTGATGTTGACAACGTTGGTGGTGTTGGCATCGTTGGACAAGAGAACCCCGCTGATGCTGCCAACGTTGGTGGTGTTGGCATCGTTGGACAAGAGAACCCCGATGATGCTGCCAACGTTGGTGGTGTTGGCATCGTTGGACAAGAGAACCCCGATGATGCTGCCAACGTTGGTGGTGTTGGCATCGTTGGACAAGAGAACCCCGATGATGCTGCCAACGTTGGTGGCAAAACTTCGAAGCTGGCAACAATTGAAGACATACTGAACTTCAGGGAGCAGATCGGAGGTAAGAACAGGTATATCCGTACGCCTGGATAACACACACACACACAGATACATACCCACAGGGTACACACGCACAGATACACGCACACACACACACACAGATACAGATATACACCACACACACACACACGTTCAAACACACACGTACATACACACACACACACACACACACAGATACACACGCGTATATACACACATACGTATACACACGCACACACACATACAGTAAATACTACTTCTTGCACTGTCACTATGTTGAAATGCCCTGTAGTTTGAGCTTTTCCCCATCTAGTTATTATATATCTTATTTATATCACTTATGTTACTTGTATATTATTTGTCACCCACGTAACCCATTCCCCAATTATGTAACTATATTTTCAGCCTTCCAGCGCCATGCTCTTTTAATAAACCGTTAATTATCTCTCTCACACACCACACAAAGTACAATGAAAGACAAAAGTCGTGCCGTGAAATTTGGTGAAAACATATGCCGAAGGCCTAAAACTTTTGGTGCGCTCTGCCTTGTGGTAGGGAGCTCAAAATGTTTCCCGAGTTATATTTAATCTTCGGACAAAACCGCGACACGACTTTTGTCTATGATTGTACACACACAGATAAATAATAATGGTTGCCCCTCGTGTAACGAGGATGGCCGGCCCAAGGTCCATCTTAGCGTGAATTTGCTTATGGTTTTAGAAGCTGTCGCCAACACAACAACCACACCCTGAGTTAACGGGCTGCATGACCCAGTGTTTAAGGTGTAGAAGCTGTCGCCAACACAACAACCACACCCTGAGTTAACGGGCTGCATGACCCAGTGTTTAAGGTGTAGAAGCTGTCGCCAACACAACAACCACACCCTGAGTTAACGGGCTGCATGACCCAGTGTTTAAGGTGTAGAAGCTGTCGCCAACACAACAACCACACCCTGAGAACGAGCTGCATGACCCAGTAAGGTGTAGAAGCTGTCGCCAACACAACAACCACACCCTGAGTTAACGGGCTGCATGACTCAGTGTTTAAGGTGTAGAAGCTGTCGCCAACACAACAACCACACCCTGAGTTAACGGGCTGCATGACCCAGTGTTTAAGGTGTAGAAGCTGTCGCCAACACAACAACCACACCCTGAGTTAACGGGCTGCATGACCCAGTGTTTAAGGTGTAGAAGCTGTCGCCAACACAACAACCACACCCTGAGTTAACAAGATGCATAACTGCTGGTTAGACAGATACACACATCACACACTCACGTACACACACACATACGCACACACAATCATCACCAAGTTCCCCACACCTGATAATAATCGTCTATCTATCTATCTAAAAAAATCTATCCATCCCTCTATTTGTCCCCTGCAGCCACGTCAGACGGTGGGTGTCCTCCGGTAAGGCCCTCCTGCGCGGCGTCCCGAACTCGACCACCGCTGTGTGACTTGGACAGTGAGTGTAGGGCCGGGTGGTTGTGTTGCTTCGATATGTGTGTCCAGAGAACCCTGTGTAAGAGGATTGTCTAGTGAACTGATACCGCCCCCACCCACCCACCACCTCCTCGCCCTATCAACCACCTCCGCCGCTCCTACCACCTGATTGGGCTAAGAGTCACGTGTCACTTAGCCCAATCCTGGACCTACCATGTGTCTATCAACCACGCGTGTTAGCCAATCCTGGACTAGTTACGCGTCTCTCAACCAATCAAATACTAGCTACGAGTCTCTCCACCAATCAAGGACTAGCTACGTCTCTCAACCAATCAAGGACCAGAGAAGTAACCAAAAACCAATCAGTGACCAGCTAAAAGTCTATCAACCAATCAGGGCCCAGACACGTATGTATGGTTTGTTTACTACAATCAACTGAAGATTAAACACCTTAGTTTATTTCACCTGATAATTAAACACTCAAAGATTAGTGTTAGGTTAGGTTACATTAACGTCGGGTTAGGTTAGACTATAGCGTTAGGTTAGATTACATTAGCGCCGGATTAGGTGAGGTAAGTGTTGGGTTAGGTTAGCCTGGCGTTAAGGTGTTTAATAAAAAGGTGAAATAAACTGGGGTGTCTAATCTTCAGGTGATCCGATTACTTCACACTGGCGTCCCTAAAGGAGGGTTAATCTGGCCCTTTTAATTCTTCCTTACAAACAATACGTTAAAACACACACACCGACTGCCCATTGCGTGCCTTGTTGACCGGGGTGTCAGGGTCAAACTGTTGTGGATCCCCTCTCACATAGGCCTCATAAAACATGACAGAGTTGATGCCCTCGCCAAACTCGCGTCTAACAAAGACACCGTTGAATACAATTTGGGTCTGTCAAAAAGAACCCTTAAAACTGTAATTAGGAAAGAACTTATTGATGAGGTTGACGCAAGTAGACAAGTGCAAACAGGCACTAGTCGACCCATAGGTTACCATGATGAGATGTATCAAGTGAAACATGTATATGGAGCAAGTAACAAGATCACTAGATTATAAGATGTTGTAACCGCTAGATTAAGGTTAGGATATAAGTACCTTTGGCAGTATGTTCCTCAAGCAGATGTAAACAAAACTAAATGTAAAGTGTGTGGCCAGACATATGGCCACTCACTTGAACACTACGTCCTCGACTGTGTGAAGATAGAACCTTTTAGGGACAGGTCCAAGCACACTGTGTGTGAAATGGCACAACACTTCATCTCTAATGGCAAGATAGCCGACATATTAAGATTGGATCCACTTTTTTGCACTTAGTAACTATATCAGTTCTCATGTACAGAACCAAATACGCAATGTGCTTGAATACCTCCCACGTAAATGTGAATACCAAAGTGTGAGGCCAGACATACTGCCTCACACGCCTGTTCTCACGCATTTGTGAATAAGTTACCCTTTATGTATAGAACTAAACAAATAATGTAAATGAAATACTGTGTAACTTTCAGTGCCATAATATCCTGACAACGGGGGTTAATTATTATGACCCTTTGTAAACCCTACTCTGTAATCCTTTTGCGCTACAGCTCACAGGATGAGTGTGGGGTGCACAATAAAGTAGCCGCTGCAAGCGGCAAAATCAATCAATGTCCTGCGGGTGATAAATAGACACCCCCTTCACCCCCCACCCTGAGAACTGAGATGAGGTTAGGTTAGGTTTTGTGCTGGTCATTTCCATTTCGTCTACTAACATGTAACCTTACCTAAGCTGACTTAACCTCACCTAACAATATACTATGCTATTTCCTCCTTTACAGCTATTACCGTTTTGTTTAAATACTAGACATAATACCAAGAGAGCAGACATAACGTAAATAGTAGCCATTCTTAGTATAAACGGTGAAAGTCGACGAAATGTAACGTTCCCCCCGAAACAGTGACCGTAAAACACTGACCGAGTCTTCTGCAGGGGTTCCAAATTGGCGGCAAATTCAAGTTGAAGACGCATCAACAAATCTCTCTCTCTCTTTGATTCTTAATTACTGGTGACTTAGTATATTAACTCACAATACACCAATAAAGAACTTAGTTGGAACAATCTACCAGAAAGTGTTGTGACGGCACCGAGTGTGAGCTCTTTCAAGACAAGACTTGACCAACACTGGAGCGAGTTCAGGTACATTCAGGAGCCGGTGCATGCCCAGTACTTGCCAACAGTGCGTGACAGAGACGTGACCGATCGCCCGGGCGGCTAGTGAGCTGATCTTTTGGTGAAGAGGATAAAAGAAAAGGAAAAGTAATGAGAGACGTGACCGATCGCCCAAGCGGCTAACGAGCCGATCAGTGGTGAAGAGGATAAAAGAAAAAAGTGAAGCGTAGCAATACATTGTAAAATACCGACATGCAATCCAGTCAATCACAACCCTCGAGACATACGTGGTGGAGACTGCAGCTGCTTGAGGTGCCTAGGCCTGAGTATATATTTATTTTGTATTAATGTTTTCTGTGTGTTTTAAAGCCAATGTTATTTATTTCAGTAATTTATATACACGGTTTATAAACATGAATCCTACTTATATGTAAAGTAGTAAAATATAATAAAACCTTATAAATATCCGTTTGTTTACATTAATATTTTGTTGCCTGTGTCCGAAACCTACATGTCCAGTGATGCTGAAATTAATAAAATAAATATAAGTATGATGGTAAATGGTCCAATGTTTACTCTAAATGCTTAAATCCAGCATTCAAACACTTGCTCATGAATAAATATGGTCGGCTTCACTTTATCACAAGGATTTTGTTTATCTTTCAAAATAAACACTAAATTATCTAGTTTACAAAAAAAAAATAATCAGGACGGTAAGAGAAAAATTTGCTATATAAATAAATAAATCTTAGGGACGGCAAGATCACAAATAAAGTAAATAAATAAATAAACAAATAATAGGGACGGTACGATAATAAATAAATAAATAAATAAATAAATAAATAAATAAATAAATAAATAAAAAGACCTAACACTATTCACCGATAATGGCCACTCGCTCTAGAGATTTGAACTGAGGAACTGTCCCAGAGGTGTCTGTCTACCCTCGGTCATGTGAATTGGTACTGTACTTAGCGAACGAGTCCATGAAAAAAAATAAACACAATCACACACACACTACTACTACTTTGCTGTCACTCGGAATCGAGTATGACGATCATCCAGCTATGATACAATGATACGAGTTATTAAAGATGTCACCTAGGTTGGTGAATTTTGAGATGACTAAAGAGGCCGATAAGGGACCGGCAGAGCCGTTCACAGATCTTGCACATGTGTTGGTTACATCTAGTGCGGGAGGGGCGGCGGCAGCGCCTTTCCGGCGCTGGCGCTTGTCTGCCTCGGTTTGCAGTCGGGCTAACTCGAAAGTATTGACACCTTCTCGTGTGGTGGTGCTCCTCCAAGCGCTACGGTGTGGAGTAATCGTCTCCCAGGTGAGGGGGTCGATTTGGCATTTTTTCAGGTTTGTCTTCAGACCATCCTTATACCTTTTCAGTTGCCCGCCAGCATTATGTTGCTATTCGTTAGATGACTGTGTCAAGTAGCTGCTTTGGCAGTCTACTGTCTTCCATGCAGGATAACATGGCCAGTCCAGCGTAGTTGTTCATGGATGGTAGTGTCGATGCTTCTACAGTTGGTGTCAGCGAGAATACTGGCATTTGTTCTCTTGTTTTCCCAGCGAACTCGGAGGATGGAACGTAGACTACGATGGTGAAAGTTTTCAAGTTTTCAAGTGCCTTGAGGTGCCTTATGTATGTGACCCATGTCTCACTGCCATATAGCAAGGTGGGGAGGACCACTGCTCGATACACGTGCAACTTTGTAGATAATTTTAGCGCCCTGCAGATGAAGACACGGGTACGGAGTCTGCCAAAGGCTTGAGATGCACATCTGATCCGATGTTGAATCTCTTCATCGCTGTCTGCGGTGGTGGAGAGGTGGGAGCCGAGATACTGAAAGTGGATGACATAAGAGGGTAGTACCGTTAAGATGGATGGATGGTGGAGGTGTGGCTGAACCAGGGTCAGGCTGAAAGAGAATCTGAGTCTTACGTACATTAACCTCAAGGCCGAAGTGTGCATACGCATCTGCATAGGTATTCAGGATCTCCTGAAGGTCGCGTTCAGTGTGAGCGACAAGGGTGAGGTCGTCTGCATACTGTAGGTTCAGTAATGAAAGCTACCAACACCTTTGTTCCTGCCTGGAGTCATCTTATTTTGAAAAGATCCTTCATCTGGTACTCAATGTCCACCCGTTAGGATGGGGAAGAGCTCAGACTGGGTGCCATTGTGCCGAACACTCCCGTTCATGCCGTCGTGGAGTTGCCTCACAATGGCGCTGAATTTTGGTGGGCAGTCAGACCGGCTAAGGGTTCGCCGGAGGGCTTCCCTGTTGATAGAGTTGAAGGCCTTGGTTAGGTCGATGAAAGCCATTTACAGGTCACGATGCTGTTCTCTGAACACACACACACACACATCTTTGACCACAAGATAATCAAGACCTATCAGGGTTTAGGCGCTGCTCCTGCTACCACCCTTGGCCAATGTTCGCCCCATTCCCCAAGTCCCTCTCCCGACCCATCCTCACCACTGGGATATCAACATAATCAAAAGTGACAATTTCGTTTCGGAAAGAAGTGGGGTTAGTGTTGAACAGTGATGAACAGTGTTTAAGCCAGTGAACTCAGTACTAGACAGTACCAGCGAGAGAGTGACCCACCAGTGAGATAACCACCCCTGGGAACTGACCACCATCTTCTGACCAGGCTGTGTTAATCAGTCCACCCTGGGAACAACAGTGGTTCGGCTTTAAGAACATAAGAACAAAAGAATGGAGGAAACTGCAGCGGGCCTATTGGCCCATACTGGGCAGTCCCGTTTACACCCAACCCCTATTGCTCATATGAACATCCAACCTATGTTTGAAGCAATTCAGCGTATTCGAGTTAATGATGATATTTGGTAACTTGTTCCATTCATCCACTACTCTGTTTCCAAACCAGTGTTTACCTATTTCACGCCTAAATCTAAATTTGTCTAATTTAAAACCATTGTTACGAGTTCGCTCCTGGTTGGATAGTTTGAGTACCTTTGTAATGTCCACTTTGTTAAGCCCTGCCTTCCACTTATACACCTCTATCAGGTCGCCCCTCGCTCTACGTCTCTCAAGGGAGTGCAAATTAAGTTTAACCTGTCTCTATACTCAAGGTTCCTAATGCCCGGGATTAGTCTTGTCATTCTCCTCTGAATTCTTTCCAAGGATTCTATATCCATTCTGTAATACGGTGACCAGAACTGAACTGCGTAATCCAGGTGTGGTCTCACAAGAACAAGATACAGTTTTAGGATGACCTCGCTAGTCTTGTAACTAACACTTGCTCCTTTGTATGAACCCAAGTACTTTATTAGCCTTGTTACGAGCAAAAACACATTGTTTACTTGGCTTAGGTTCCTACTTATCATTACTCCCTAAATCTCTCGCAGTCGG